ATTATTAAGACTTTGAATTATCATTAAGACATTGGAAGTTTCCCTTTGAATATTCCTTAAATTTTATAAATACCTTTGAGTATTTTAAAAATCCCATTAAAATAGTAACAATATTTTTTCTGAATTTTTTAGATTTTTCTGACAAAGTTGTTCTAATTGCAAAATTATTGCAAAAATTTATAATTAAAATATATAATTAATTATAAAAAATTTTTATAATAACTTTATAATTAGAATAATTTTATTAGAAAAAATCTAAAAAATCTAAAAAATATATATGTTAAAATATAACTTATGATTTTTATTTAATATAAAATAAAAATTATTTATTAATAAATTAAAAATTTTTTATATAAAATAAAAATTTTAAATTTTATTATATTTTATTAATAAAATTGTATATATAATTTCATAATTCTATTAGTTACTATAAATCCAATTAAAAATATTTAACATAACTAATATAATTTAAAATTAATAAATAAAAAATTTAAAAATAAATAAATATCAAAAAATATTTATTTTATTAAGTTAAAGTACTAAAATAAAAGCTAGATGATAATATTTTCCAATCTTTTAATTTGCAAACATGAGGTACTCAGCTAAGTTATTCTCAAATAGTTCTTCCAGGGTGATAAAATTTAAAATGATACTTTTTAGTTGAAATTAATTTTGATATTTTGAAAAATTTTATAATTCTCATTTCAAAGATGATGTAAAGTTTAATCAATTCCAAAGCTTAGTTTATTAACTTCTCAGTTAAATTAGCTAATTCTAATTTTGAATTATAATTATTGATTCTAACTTATTATCTACAAGATATAGTTTTAAGTGATCTCTATTATAGGAATTTTTCAAAAGTTTCTATTTATTGTTCTTAGTTAATAAGCTTCTTTATTAAGTTTTTCATGAATATAGAATGGTTCTTTCTATTTTTGCAAAAATTTTTTGTGATGCTAGTGCTGCATTTTCATTCTTCTCATTAAGACTTTATCTTCAATGAAGAAAATTTGTGCATTTTTATCTTACTAATACGATTCTTTTTGTTTTTGTTGAGATTTCTGAATATTCTAGTGAACTATTATTTTATTAATTTCTAATTTGTTCATTATTATACAGACTTACTTAATAATTTCATTTGCTGTAACTTCATTATTTTCTTCTAATGACTGTAATTTAAAATCTATACTTGTCTTCTATAGATCAAGTAAAATAGAGTGAATTTAATTGTACTTTATTAAATTATTCTATAAATGAATAATACTGAAGGTAAATAGAAATCCCATTCATTTTTGTGTAATTGTATTAGTTTTGCTAATGATTCACATAATGTTCTATTCAATTATTCAACTAATCCATTGGTTTGATGATGATATAATGATGTTTAATTTGATAAGTTTTACATAATGTTCTAATTAATTTATTGATAAAAATTGTTCCTCTATCAGAAATTAATTTTCTTAAAAATTCATGTCTACAAGTAATATCTTTATATAAGAATAAGGATGCTTGCCTAAATCCTTTCAGAAAAATATTTTCATAATTTTGATGTATTACACACTAATTATTAATTAGAATTTTGACATAATTTCGATTATGACGGATTTCAAAACTCGTCAGAATTTTGATGGGCTATTTACTAATAGTTTATTATAATTTTGACAGAATTTCAGCGGTTACTAAGAGATTTTGACAAGCAATCTTATATAAGAATAATATTATTGTTGTTGATACTATATTAGGAATAGCTCTTGCTTTTGTCATTTTGTTTTATAATTAATATTAACTACTATATATTTATTTTTATTAGAGATAAATAATAATAGTCCTACTAAATTAATTTCAATTTTTTTGAATAATAATTTTATTTCAATTGGATGTAATGGATTATTTTTTCTTAGTCTTCCTTTTCTTTGATATACATTGTTACAGTCCAGAATTATCTCTAATTCCTTAATTTCTTAATTTTAATTATGTGATTAAATATAGATTGTAAAGATAGCAGAGATAACAGAGTTCTCATATATAATATATTTTATATTGTAATATTTTATCATGAAATATTTTATATAAATAAAGAACTTTTTAAATAAACCAAAAGACATCAATTGATCAATACAAAATCTAGTTAGTCAATAAATTGCTTTTTGTTTATTATTTAATGAAATTGTACATTATAATTAATATTATTATAACACTCACTTTTATTATGCACTATTGAATATTCAACCAGGTTACTATAGAATATTAGTACTGTATTGCTATAAAACCATCAACACATTAAATAAATACAAAGAAAAATATTTATTAGTAATAGTAATATCCTATTCTATTTTAATAGAATAGAAAAAGTTGCACTGCATATTGATCCTAACGCAACTAAATCAAAATTAGTAAAATTGAGAAATTATCAGAGATGTTGATTGAATATTCATATCACAAGATTATCTATCAGAATTCAGAACTTATGACAATATTACAAGTTTTTGATATCTTGATGTAAATTTGATTAATAATAGTTTTGAGATATTCTATAATATGTTGTCTCTATTTCAAAATATTTAGTATAAATTACTAAATATTTATTAAATAATACTTTTTCTATTTCAGTTGTTTTAATCACTTTTAATAATTGTTCTATATTTCTATTATTTTATTAGTATTTTATCTGATTTTTAGTAATATAATGTATTATTTTATTTTTGAATTTTTGTTATTTTTTTACTGTTAGATTTTCTGGTAATTATAGGATATTCAAATAGTTAATGAGTTAATTATATTCAAGTAAGTCTATTATATCAGTTGGATCAATTTATAATTGAATATTCATATTATTTGATGAGTAATTTATTTGTTTTTAAGTTGGATCTGGCTGAAAATGTCGAGAGAGTGAATCTACATTTGAGTATAAGTATTCTTTATAATGTTCTATATTAAAAGTATAATCTCACAAAGTTATAATTTAGCAAGTTAATTTATTAGAAAGATTTGACTTGTTGAATAAAGTTTTTAAAACACTATAATCAGTAATAACAGTAAATAAAATATTTAATTATAGATAAGATCTATAGTATTGAATGATTCATACAATATCTAAACATTCTAATTTAGTAATACAGTAATTTTGTTCATGTATACTAGTTCTTCTGCTAGTATAAGCAACTATATGTTCTCTATTATTGTCATCTTTTTGTGCAAGGATGACATCTAATTCAAAACTAGAAGTATTGATATATAAAAGAAATATTTTTTCAAAGTTTGGATAAGTTAAGATTAATAGTGAAATCAAATATTATTTTAATTCCTCAAAGACTTTTTGATATTCTTTATTACATGTGAAAGATTGTTCTTTTTTCATGAATTAATGTAGTAATGTAGCAATTTTTGCAAAATTTTTAACAAAATATCAATAATAAGAAGCTAATTCAAGTATTATTAAATTAACAAAACTGAAAAATTTTGTATTGCTAGGATTTTAGCAGGATCAGGTTGTATTTCTTCTTTTCCAATAATATATCCAAGAAAAATTAATGAAGTTTTTCCAAAATGATACTTTTTAAAATGTAGTTTTAATTCACTTTTTCAAATTATGTCAAAGACAATTCTTAAATATTGTGTTTTTCAAAAGTTTCTGAGAATATGTTAGTGTCAACAAGGTAAATAACTAGGAATTTGTTGATATAAGGTCTAAATATCTTATTTATCAATTATTAAAATATTGCTGATTCATTTGTAAGTTCAAAAGACATTATATTAAATTCATATAATTCTTTACTAATAATAAAAACAGTTTTCTTTCAGTCTTTTGTTTTACTTCTATATGCCAGTATCCACAAATAAGATTAAGAATTGTGAAATATTTTGCTTTACTGAAGTATCCAGTAAGTTATCAATTCTAGGTAACAAAAATTGATCTTTTATTGTTACTTTGTTGAGTTATCTGTAATCTACACAAAATCTAAATTTTCCATCTTTCTTCTTTGCTATGACTATAGGTGCTGACCAAATATACAATTGTGATAAAGTATGGCATATAACTCGTACTACTGCGTTCATTACGAGATCATTTTTTTCTGGAGATCTTAGATCATTGATTTCACAATGTCATTCTTTGGTGGTTAAATTTTTCAAAAAAAGATGCACAAGAAAATCATGTACATTTTTAGGAACCAATGATTCAGTTATGGTATCCATCTTCGTTAGATACGAAATCGCTGTCGAGTTTGGGAGTTTTTTTTTAAAAAAAACCGAATTCAGCCAGAGATCAATTAGATCACCATTAGGGTATTGCTTTTTATAAATCGAAAAAATTTCCTTTGTTACGTCCTAGAATGCCTTTTATCTGGCAGAAAAAAAATCAACAGCATTAAAAATTCGTTGTTTTAAAATGTATTATTAAAATAATTACTTACCATGTCATCTTGTATATCTTCTTTTTTGTCATTTTCTTGAAGGAGAGATTCAGAAGCATTGATATCCTCGTCTGTTGTTGCTTTACCTGTTTCTTCATGGCAATCCTCCGATTGTCTAGAGTGTTTGTATGAACGACCAACTTCCGCATCCGTATCTTCTATATGTCTCGTAAACTTGTTATACGTACGTGCCTCTAGTTTTGACTCATATAAACTTTCTTTCTCATTCACAAAAATTTTCATTGCATTCTTAAGATTTTTTGTGGCATTCATTTTAGCCTGCAAAATACATAACAAGTTAGTATTTATATATAAATTAAATGACAATGAATTAACATACCTCTGTATCCAGTTTTTCAAAAAACAAACTTCTTCGTGATGAAATGTACGTTGTGCAGAATTTTTCATTTTACTGGCTTTGTCCTTAGCTCTTTTAAGTGTTGATTTAGAAGAAATTATTGAACGCAAATGTCTTACAGTTCTCAAAAATCTCATCCAGATTTTCCGATGTTAAATGCACACACTGTTTTGATAAATATTCAAGGCAATCCATAAAAGACCAATTTTCATTCTCT